AAAAAAAAAAAAAAAAAACACACAGTCCAAGTGGGCAGGGGAACGGGTCCGCTGTGTCTGCCCTCTGTATAAAGGTGCTGTCTGGACAGGCTCGTCTCCTTACCCTAGCCCCAGCTTCCAGAACATTCTGGAAATGCCTGACACACAGTAGGAGCTCCATTAGTGTTTCCTGAATAAAAGAAGTAACTGAAATCATTCTCTAAAGATACGGTTTGCCCAAACGCTCCACTCAGGACACCACGAGACAGCCCTTAGGACAGCACAGAACGCTATGCCGGCCTGTGCCAGGCTGCCGCAGCGCTCACCTCTCTGTGTCTGACAGAGGATCGGCTCCGGGGCTGATTTCGACTTCTAGCTGCAGCCAGTCTCTGTAAGTCAACTAGAAACAAGGAGAGGTCTGTTGCAAGGAAGGCCACACACCGCGTCTGGCTGACTCTGCCAGCAGAGGGCTGAGCCGTGCTGCGGGAGGCTGCCGCTGCAGAAGGCTCACAGCGCGGACGCCTCCCTTCCGTCCCCAAGGAGATGCCTACTTGTGCCACTTCCCTGCCGTGAGACCCAACACCTCCCGCACACGGCGTCTGCACAGCAGGCCGCGCTCCCCCCGTCTCAGCACTCAGCATGCTTCAGACTTCAGTGGCTTAGAGAAGGGGTGCTCAGCCATTCAGCACTTTCTCCCAGGATTAAAAGGCCATGTTTATGGAATGCATTTCACACCATGGATGACCCTGGAAACAGCACTGTCTACAAGCCCTGGGGTGACACCAACCAGCACCACTGGGGCAGGTGCTGCTCACAAGTACACACTGCCATGCAGCCAGCTGTGGCGGTGCACGCCTGCAATCCCAGCACTCGGGAGGCTGAGGCAGGAGGGTCCCTGTAGCCATAGTGAGGCCCTACCTCAATACTTCCCACTGCCCAAAAACTACACTGCCTGCTTTTCAGTGCCCTGTGGCATCTACAAACCCACTCCGTCAGGAGTGCCGGGAAATAAAGAATTTTCTAGGTCCCTTGACAATAAACCTCTTTGTAGCAAACAGTTACAAATATTCACAGTAGCTTACTTTCTGTCTCGAGTTCTTAGAACAGCTCCATAAACGAAGGGGAGCTAATCGCAAAACCTCATAGTATATGGAAAAGTGTGTCAGAGAATGCCTCTGTGGCACAGCCTCTGAGGGCAGAGCCCAAAGCCAGGCCGCAGGATTGTGATGGCCACGCACATGTGGGGCCAGAGTCATGGCCACGACTGGGCCAGGCAGGACAGCCCACCAGGAGCCGGGCACGGCGAGCTACTCACGGCGCCACCACTGCCATCCACGGTGGAGGCCTCACCTAGCCCGCGTGACCCACTCAGCTAAGAATGACAGTGTGTCGGTGCAGTCTCGAGGCTCCTATACTCGAACACCCAGTACACACCCAGGAACTAACTGCAGGCCTGCTGGGGGGCAGCACAGGCTGGCCCAGATCACGTGCGCAGCGGGTGCTTCCCTATCTCGAGGCCTGGCCTTCGACAGTTTTAGCCAGGTATGATGCTGCGTGCCTGTGATCCCAGCACTCAGGGCACTGAGGCAGGAGGGTTGCTGGGAGTCTGAGGACAGCCTGAACAACTAGCAAGATCCTGGCTCAAGAAAAACAAAAACAAGCTGGGTGTGGTGGTGCACCTGTAATCCCAGCACTCCAGAGGCTGAGGCAGGAAGATTGCTTTGAGTTTGAGACCAGCCCGGATTACAAAGTGAGCGCAAGGCCACCCTGAACTGCATAGTGAAACCTTGTCTGGAAAAGACCAGATAAAGTTCTGTTCACCCTTCAAAACCTGTCTGCAAGCTATGACTGCTGAGAGACCTGAGCAGAGCACACCAAGGTCTTCCTGCAGTGTCTTAAATTACATGTAATGCTACAGTAATCCAGGAAGATCTTCCCCACAGACCCATGGGACAGACAGTGTCACACAGGACAGGCACCTACCTGAAGCTCTGGCTCTTCCAGCAACTCCCGGAAGCTGCTCTGTCTCCACAGAGCAAGAGCGGCGCTCCGCCAGTCTGTGGAAGGCAGGCAAAAGGGTCTCCAGGGAGGGCTGGCCTTGCTCTCCACAGGGTGAGGCTCTCGGGCCTTTGAAACCAATCTGAGCACAGCAAACTGGAACTGAGACAAAGGGAGTGAGTCCGCAGCTCCCCGACACCCCTGCTCCAAAGCCCCGAATCCCACCAGCAGCCCCGCCGCTCCGAGCCCCGGCTGGCCACACTGCGTACAGCCTGTGGGTGCATCCTCGGCCTGGACTGGTGCTTGCCCACATCTTCCATGTTCTCCAGTGTGGGGTCTTCACTAACAGTAGCAAAAGGGCAAGCCAGTGTCTTAACTGTGACGGCTCTGCCTGGCCTGGCCTGAGAGGGAGACCGTCCTTGGCAGCCCTCTCTCCTAAGCTCGCCAGCTCGTCTCACGCGTGGTCCTGGGACCAGGTTCCTCCAATCCACTGATGATGAAATGGGCCGCGGTGGATGCCCACGCGCTCCTCAAGGCTCAGGTGAGCGCAGGGCCCCCGACTCGCCGCAGAGCCTCCCAGCCTGCGCCAACGTGAAGCCTGGGCCCGCCTGCTCTACGCACAGGTGTCTACCAGAACGCGGTGCACAGACGGGCTGAGGCGGCGGAGCCTTGCCCACTATGCTTCAAGCCCTGGGCTCCATCCTCAACACTCAAAAAAGATGTGTAAAATAACCCTGACTTGTACTCTGACTTTACTGTCACTCTTGAAATTCCGGGGCCCTGACACTCATTAAATTTCTGCCCTTCTCATGAATGTGACAAGCACTGCGATGCAGCAGGAACTGGCAGCACTACCGCACAATGATTCTTTTTATGAGCACTTATCTTTGCATTGGCCTGTTCCTCCAAGTATCTGCATCCGTGTCTTTATTTTTTTATTTTTTGAGACAGGGTCTCGCTGTGCAGTTCGGGCTGGCCTTGTGCTCACTTTTGTAGCCCCTAGGCCAGTCTTGAATTTGCAGAGACCCTCCTGGCTCAACCTCTCGAGTGCTGGGATTACAAGCGTGCGCCACCACACGTGCTTCTGGGGCCACACGGTGGGCACCTGCATCCAGAGCTGAGACGAGACAGCGTGCCTGGGCACCCAGGGCCGAGACTGCACAGCGCGCGGAGCCAGGGATCGACTCAGGTCCTCATGCTTGCCAGGCAGGTGCTTATGCCTCTGAGCTACCTCTCTGGCCCCAAGAACCAGGGTTTTTCTTTTCTTTTTTTTCCCCCAGTGCTGGGGATTGAACTCGGGACCTTGCACTTGCCAGGCAGGCATTTATGCCACTGAGCTACCTCCCCAGCCCTTCGCATCTGCGTCTTTAAAAGAGAAGCAGAAGCCTCAAGCTGTCACATTACCCAGTTGGAAGGATGACAGCACCTGGCATCACAGATGGCTACCAGCATGCCTGATGGGCTGCTGCCTTGCTGAGGACCCCTCGGTTGCAAACAGCTGCACCTGAGACCCACCTTTTTGATAAGGCCTGGAGATAAACAGCTGCGCAGGGCTCTGTGTGGCTGAGGGGAGAACCTGCACCAAGAGTAGGCGATAGCTGCCGTGCAGAACCTGTGAGAGAGCAGGGTGCTGACCACAGCCATCCCACGTCCGGCCGCGCAGCACAACGGAGTAGGCACACTATGCACCTTGGGCCATGCCAAACAAGGACGAGCAGGGTGCGGTGGTGCACACCTGTAATGGCAGCACTCTGGGAGGCTGACGCAGGAGGACTGCAGCTTCAAGCCTGGCTGGGCCAACTTAGTGACTCAAAAAGACCCTGTCTCTAAGCTCAGTGCAGAGACCTTGGGTTCAACCCCCATGTCACAAAGCCACTAGCAGCAGCAAGGATAAAGGAAACTGTGAGCTGCACAAAACGGATTTAGTGCACTCCGTAACTGCACAGCTGATGGTCAGACCTTGATTTAGAGAAACCCTCACGTAGCCTCAGCCCAGCTCAGTTGTCTCCACAAACCCCCTCCTCAGCAAGGGCAGATAACATGCTTGGCTTCTTCAACTTACTTTCGGCACTGGCACTGAACCCAGAGCCGCATGCCTGGTAGGTACGAGCTCTGCGTCTCTGCAGCCCTGCAGCCCAGCCTGTCTTCTATGATTTTCTCTGCTGAGCAGTGGTATGGGGGGCGGGGCCAAGGCCATGACTTAGGAGTGAGGCCTGACTCACTTTAGGCAGAAGAGCGCGGACTCCCCTGCGTGGCAGGATAGGAGGCCATCAAGGAACTCAGGGACGGGAAGGCTGCGGGTGGCCGTAGCAGGGCCTGGGTCCACCTCTGGGAGCGTGGCCCTGGCCTCCCCCAGGTGCACAGCCAGGGCAGCCAAGCCCAGAACGTGTGAGGCACTCAGGCTCGGGCCCTGAAGGAAGACAGAGAGGAGGCAGAGCTGTGATGACTGCTCAGGCACTGAGGGCTGGCCCAGGCCAGGGCGGCACAGCATACCTGGTGACGCAACAGCTGGCAGAGCCGGGCGAGGACTGCAGGCAGCAGCGCACGAGCACACAAGGTCCTCACAAAGAGCGTGGCCCAGGGTCCCTGCCTGCGGGACAGCAGAGAGCCTCGTGCTGGCTTATGAAGCCCCCCGCCACAGTTCCCAGTACAGGAAGCCTCCGCGGGGGCCAGGTGGTCCCTACAGCACATGGATGGGCAAGTGTCCATAGTACCCCTGGCTGAGAAAATACTGCCTGGCCCCCAGGACCACCCAGTGACCTTCTTGGGCCCTCACCTCTCCGGGGGGACAAAGCTGCAGGCTGCGGTCAGGTCCTGACAGAAAGCTGTCAGCAGCAGATCCACAACCTGGAGGGGACACAGACATCTGAGGCCCAGCCCCGAGCCCGCAGCACCATGGCACTCAGCGATGCTGGAGTGGACAGAGGAAATCACGGGACAGGCAGGTCCCAGGACAGCTGCCCCCACCTAGACCCTACCAGAGCAGTGAGACTCAGCAAACTTGGGCGATAGACGGCCAGAGAATACATACTTTAAGTTTGGAGGATGCAAGCGCCCTCTACCATACATTACTTCTTTAAAACGTAAAGGAGTCCAGCACGGTGCTGCACACCTATGATCCCAGCTACCTGGGAGGCTGAGGCAAGAAGATTACAAGTACAAGGACTGGGGAACTTAATGAGATGGTTTCTCAAAACAGAACTGACAGGGCTGGTGAGATGGCTCAGTGGTCTAAAGCACCTACTTAGAGCAAGTTTAGCAAAGCACAGGGACCGCGGTTCAATCCCCCAGCACCACATGCCAGAGCTGGCCATACACACACATACACACACACACACACACACACACACACACACACAAATAAAATTTAAAAAAAAAAAAACAAAACCAGAACTGACAAATGAGCTGGGGATACAGCTCTGGGGTAGAAGAGCTTGGCTAACATGACCAAAGCCTTGGGTTCAATTCTGACCAAAACTTCCCCCAAATTAAAGGAGCTCCTCTTATACAAATAGGCCAACGTGGCCTGGCCAGCCCCAGGCAGGCAGTGCCAGGCCCTCGACAGCTGCATGTTGCCCATACCCACTACCTGGTACTGCCACGAGACATCTGGGGCAAGGGAGCTGAGCTGAATCGTTTCCTCAGAACAGACTTCATCCTTCCTGCGACCCAAGACAGCATCAAGCTTCTCAGCAACCGCACCCATCTGAGCAGAGAGAGCTATAACCAGAGGAACCATGAGACAGGTGGAAAGTGTGAGGGATGATGCCCAGGGGCGCAGAGCGCGGTGGAAGCCAGCCGCCCCGCCTGCCTCCAGCCCTGCATGCCAGGGCGACTCACCCAGTGAGCCCAACCTGGCAGTGGAAGCTGTGTTTATCCACTGCTGGTGGCGAGGAAAAAGACCCTGACACATAGGCTGCACGGCACCCAGCACGGAGCGGGTGGCACAGACCTGACGCGAACACCACTCCCTCCTGGACTGGCCGAGAGCTGAGGGCGTCCTCTGCACACGGTGATGTCGCTTAAACACAAGCCCCTGAGATGCCCCAGTCTGGGGACTACACAGTCACAGCGTACTGCAGCAGGAAAGCTGCCTCACTGCTGCTTCAAACAGGGCAGGCCCAACCCTCTTCAGCCCTTGCTCCCTCAGTGGGATTTTTTTTTTTTTTTTTTTGGCAGTACCAGGGATTGAACTCAGGCCCTTGCACTTGCCAGGGAAGTACTTATTCTTCTGAGCCATCTCCCTGCCCCACGGTTTTAATCTAATAGGTTCTCACCTTTTTTTTGATTGAACTCAAGCACTTTTTTCACTGAGCTATCTCTCTGGCCCCTCCAGTGGGATTCTTTCTAAAGGCTCTGAACCCATACTCTTGAGCAGGGCAGGATGTGACTACCGTCCAGGCAGCCTCGAAGCTGAAATGCCAGGGTCACTTGAGCCCTGGAGTTAGGGGACGGAGTCCCCCAGACAGCAAGAGCGGGAGCTGGGCACAGGGCGCACATCTGGGAGGCTGAAGCCGGAGTACAACTCAAGCTCAGAGAGAGAAACTCAGTGAGAGCCTGTCTCAAAATAAAAGCAGGGGCTGGGGAAGTAGCTCAGTACGAGGTGCCAAGTTTGATTTCCTATAGGGCCAAAAGAAAACAGACAAAACCCCAAACAACCACCACCGCGTCCTGCCTGAGTAAACTCCGCAAGTTCACACTCCTGGGTCACGCACACGGCCTGGGCACCGCCCCACCCAGGCAGCTTCAAGCAGAGCCAAGCCCGCCCAGAAGAAAGGCAGCTCTGGCACACTCAGTGCTGCAGCCTGGGTGTGCTGGGAGCTGGGACCTGGAGCAGGTGACACGGGGCAGCGCCACCCTCAGAGGGACCAACCAGCCAGGTGCTCTCAGCACTTGACTGGGCCTCCTCAGCCCCACTGGCTCCCTCCCAGTGAGATTCTGCTCCTCTACTGTGCTGGCTGGAGCCAAGCCCAAGGGGACTGCCGATCCTGGACTTCAGTGTAGCTCCCAAATGTAGCTCTTTTCTTTATAAGTTATCCAGCTTCAGTTATTTAATGTTCTTGGTGAAAATGGGGCATGACTTAGATCCTGCACAAGCAAAGAACCCTGAGCCAAGAGTCAGTGACTCAGGTCAGAGCTGCCGGGAACACGAGGCGCCACAGCCATGGGTCTCCATGCTGCAGGTGCGCCCTCATCCTGCTTTCCAGTCCTGATGTTCGATCCACACCCGCTGGCAGGGGAAGAAAGCAAGCTGCGCCCCACCCCCACCCCGGGTTTCCTCCTCTGGAACATGCAGCTCTGGGCGAGGGCTGCGGCAGCTGCATGCCTATCTCCCATCATCCTCAGCAGCCAGCTGGCTGCAGGCAGCTCGCTGACCACAGGGAAGACATCCGCAAGGGCTCCCACCACAGCTGCGTACACTCACCTGGGACGCACACCCCGCCAGACACTGGGTCCTTACCGTCATACTGCATAGGGTTGGCCATCAAGGCTCTGAGCTGCCCTAGTGCAGCCCTAAGTGGCTCTAGGGCCTCTTCCCCGCAGCAGGGCTCCGTCCCAGTTCCTGGGTCTGCACCTGAGGGAGGTGGGGAGCTTAACGTTGACCACAAGAGGGGAAAAACGAACCCTAATGGCCACAGCTCTGTACAGAAGTCGGATACTGGCTCTGGGGCCCACAAAGAGGCACATGCAGTCCTCTCTGAGCTGGCTGTTCCACGTCACAGCAAAATTACCATGCTCTAGGCTGGGTGCAGCTCATGCCCAAGGCCTGGGCTCCATCTCCACCAAGATGACAAATTTATGAACAAATTTAGAAAAACTAGGTTGTCGTTATAACTTCCACAGCTGTGAAAAGCACGTATGTGATTTTAAAGACTAGTACAGTCCTGAAGGCTGCAGGGCAGTCAGCACCAGGGCTGCACAAGTTATCTGAGCAGGGTCCCAGAGGCAACCATGGCCCCTACTCAGCAAGTCACGCTCGCGTTCTGCAGGACACGGCCCAGACCTTCTCCCCGTGACCCTCGTTACACAAAGGAGAGTCGGCCACAGCTGCGTGAGGGACAAAACAAGGGCAGAGTGGCTGGAAAAGGCACAGAGCACGCCGCCCTGCGCTACAGGCTTCCCCAAAAGGATGCAAGCACCCAGGCTGAGCTCTGTCCCGCACCCTGACAGACACTGAGAGGACACTCCAGAGCCCATGGGGCAGGCCTCACCGCCAGACTCCACGGGTCAGGGCTGCCACTCCCTACCAACTCACATCTCGGGTCTACAGGGCTGTGGGGTGTGGACTAAGGGAAAGGAGGTGGCCCTGAAAGCAGCACTAGGAGGGGGCGGCAGCCAGCTGGCCAGAACAGGCTCACAGCCCCCGGGCCTCAGGCGCAGGGAATCTAGAGCAGCAGCTCCCCACAGCGGACGGGAGGCAGTGACACCTGCCAGTGACATGCCCTAGTCAGTGCTGACACTGTGGCTGACACAGCTGGTAGAGCCAGGGCCCAAGGGACGGGGCCATACGGCTGGCCCAGGCCTGAATCCGTCCCCACTCACACCCCCAGCTAAACACTCAAAGAACAGTGTCTATAACCGACCAGGGCCTGCCCCTTCCCCCATAGTGGCCTCCAGAGCCCAAGAGAGCCAGCAAAACGCAGGCCACGTGGCCCCGGGTGCAGCGATGGAGCCTGCACTCAGGACCTCTGGCCTGAGTGCAGGACCCAGGCTGAGGTCACCGAGGCTGGCATCGGGGGCAGGTGCACATGCTGGCGTCACAGGAGGCAGGGGCTGGGGGCTTACACTCTGGCTTCTCCTCCCCGGCAGCAGCACAGGCTTGGCAGTAGGCGGCATACACGGCGGGCGGGATCTTGTCTGCCCTGTGTCAGGAGACAGCATCCAAGGCAAGTCGCAAGTCCATACTTTTTCTTTTCTTACATTTTGTACAGGGTCTACAAGGTCTCACTACACTGATCAGACTCATAGTGATTCTCTTGCTTTCTGTCTCCCAAGCACTGGGATTACAGGCGTGCTACCATGCCCAGTCTCAATCCTGGCTCACTGTGCCCTGGGGTGGGGGTGGGGCCGGCAAGTACCCTGGGGATCAAACCCAGTCCCTGTATCTGCCTACGCAGGCGCTTTAATCCACTGAGCTATCTGGTTGGCCTTCAAGGCCATCCTTTCAAAGCTATTATAACATAAAAAATATACATTAAATTTAAATGAAATGTACCATACTGCATAGAGTATAGCCCTGGTTTTAGAAGAAAAACAGGATGGAGGGGCAGGAAAAGGGTTTAAAAAGTGTATATGTAGGGGCCGGGGAGATGGCTCAGTAGGATAAGCGCTTGACTGGCAAACGCAAGGATCTGAGTTCAATCCCCGGTTCCGCCAAAAAAAAGAAAAAAAAAAAAAAAGTGTCTATGTAGCAAGTCTCCATGACATGTAATCACAGCATACTACAAACATGTACCAATAAAAATCCACAGGCATGATTCTAAATGGATGGATTGAAGTGATTCTGTCCCATGTCCCCGAGTCATGAACAGTGAGAAACGCAGACCCGCAGCCTTAATAGTGGCCCGCCCCATCCTGGGCTTTACCCTGGAGCACGGCCCTGCCTCCATCCTCGGTTTGCAGGGCACCTTGGCAGCCTCAGGCACCATCTTCTCAGGGTGTCTGCGCTACACTCAGTTTTTAAAATTTTATTTTATTTATTTATTTATGTGGGGGGGCAGCTCAGCCCACCAGGGGGCGGGGCGGGCTGGCATGTGGTGCTGGGGGACTGAACCAGGGTCCCTGTGCTTTGCTAAGCTTGTTCTAAGTAGGTGCTTTAGACCACTGAGCCATCTCACCAGCCCTACACTCATTTTTTTGAGACAGGGTCTTTGGTGGCCCTTTGTCACCATGTGAAGAACACAACATGTCAGTGAATTTTAAAACCTTGAAGAGTGAATTTCTAGAAATCTATAAAATCTCAGAAAAGGGCTAGGGAGATAGCTCAGTGGTCTAAGTGCCTGCCTGGTAAGTGCAAAGACCGAGGTTCGGTCCACAGTAGAACATGCTGTGCCAGCCCCAAAACCTGGCGTGGTGGTGCATGCCTGTATCCCAGCACTGGGGAGGCTGAGACAGGAGGACTGCTACGAGTCTGAGCTGCATAGGAGGCCCAGTACCAAATAAATATTAAAAAATGAAATTCTTAAAGTCTCAGGAAAGGTTAAAAACCTAAGAACCACCCATGAAAATAAGTCAGCGGCCCACTCTATGATGCCACACTTCTCTGTGAAAACCATCATTCTTTGCACCTGCTGGAAACAGCAGCCTCCCAAAGCCCTGGTGTACCTTCTCAGAGATTCGATAAAGGCCGCCCGGGCATCAGGAACCTCAGGCAGCTGCGGGCAGGAAGAGGAGCAAGTGAGCCATGTACAGGGGTGCCCTCCTGCCCACAGACCCGGCAACATGCAACTCACCACGCGCGGCATGAGCAGAGCAGGGAGGAAGTGGGACACATAGTAGGACCTCCTGAATATGCTGTGGAGAGGGACAGATGGCACTGTCCTCAGGCTAGAGGACACCTCCCACCCAAAGTCCTGATGCCCGAGGGACGGCTCTACCTCTAGGCTCTGACACTTGTTTTGGCAACACTGTGACCTACAGCCCCAGTCCCTCACTTAAATGTTTATTTTGAGATAAGGTCTAAGTTGCCCAGGCCGGACTTTGAGAGGTTTGCCTGCCTCAGCATCCTCAGTACTGAACGGCAGACTTGCGGCACCACTCTTGGCTATGGCTCTGAGGGTTGTTGTTAAGTGGGACACAGCTTGCCAAGGGTTGCCGGCACTGTGACAATCACACATCCCAGGGAACAGGAACCACATTCTACTCCCACTAGGTTGGGTCACAAGACCTAGGCTCCTCTACAGCTGTGAGGACTGCTTTGGGGTTGTCGAAGCCCTACCCCTTAGAACTGAGCTCAGAACACATGTAGTGAGGATTGGTCTGCCCATGCAATTCAAAATATTGGGATTACACTGAATTCAGTAAAGTTTTGCTGCTTAGTCTCTGGGGCTTGCTCTACCAGATCCCCAGCACAGCGTTAACCAGAACATCTACTGCAGCTGCCTGTGGCCTCTGTCCTCCCGCCTCATCCCACACGATGGGGGCTTCACTGGGAAGCACATGCTTTGGGTCCCACATGCCTGGGGGCTCCACTGGGGGCAATTTGGGCAGCACAGTTCCAGAGCCTTGCTCTGACCCGACAACCACACCCCGGCTCCATCACCCACAGACAGACCGTGACCCCACCACACAGGCAGCTCTGTGAACACCCTTGGCCACCCCCGGCACAGCCTACCACCCCGGTGCCCTCAGCCCTGCCAGCCCTACCTGGCTTCCAGGACAGGGACTGGGATTTTCCCTGTGTGTTCAAACATCGAGATGGCCTTCTCTACATCCTGGGCAGCCTGGCTGCGGGGCTGGTTCCCACCCAGGAAAGAACAAGACACCGAAGATGTCAGGGAGGAGAGAGAGAGAGAGCAGTGAAGGCTGGCACAGCCTGCCCGGCCTCGCAGCCAGGAGTCTACACAGCCTGCGGTTAAAGGACCAAGTGGGACCAAAAGCAAGAGGACAGGGAACTCAGTGAGCCCAACACAGGCAAGCGAGCTGAGCTGCGCTGCCGCTTTCTGCCCACCCTCAGGCCTGGCCCAAGCCCCAAGCCCCGCCCGCCAGTCCCTGCGCCTAGCTGCAGCACGCCCCACCTCTCCGCTCCACCACTGAGGAAGCAGAAGGCTTAACTTTGCAGATTAAAAAAAATGGTGAAATGGCAACTTTTGAACAGCAGCAAATATTAGATGGAAGACACATGCCATTCCTTCACCCAACACTAACAGCACCTATAAATACTCTCTTGCAACTGGCCACTTTAAGAGTCATAAAAAGTATAAAAGGTGGCTTTTGCAGCGACACTCAGATCACACGGCCAGCTGACATTCAGCTCCCATGAAAGTGGTCGGCACGTCTCTGCAGTTCCTAGGAAAACCAGGCAGACCAGGCCTGCGTCCCGGGGACGCCCGGGGTCCCGGCATCGCAGCCCCCAGCCAGCAGCCTTACGTTACGCGGCTGCAGACAACACAGGCCACGCACCCCAGAAGCTCGCTGCTGGCTGCACCCGGGCAAACCAGGCACCACCCGAGGACGAGCGCGCCAGCGTCGGCAGAGCAGCAGGTGAGCAGTCAGGGCCACGCTACCTCTTCAGCGTCTCCAGCCAGGGACACATCCTCATACAGTCCCATGTTCTCTGGGGAGACCTTTGGAAGAGGAAGATGAAAGCTGGGAAAAGAAGGCAGTTTCTGGGGCCGGGGAGATGGCTCAGTAAACTAAGCACTTCCCTGGCAAGCGCAAGGGCCCGAGTTCAATCCCTGGTTCGCAAAAAAAAAAAAGGCGGTTTCTGGCTGCTGCCGGGCAGTCCAGGGAGGCAGTGACTTGCCTTGAGGTCGGCCAGCCGCGTCCTAGCCAGCGAGACGTAGTCACCAAGGAGGCAGCGGTACTTGCTCGGGACCAGCGGTGGGTGGAGAATGTGTACCTGGGGCAGACAGCGTGGTGAGCCACCTCCAGGGACTGTGGAGGAGCTCAGATGCCAGCACAGCAGAGCCCAAAACAAAGGGCCAGAAGTCACATGGGTGTGGCGGTGGGAACACCATGGGCCACCTGCAGCCCACACCACAGCCCCAGGACACATCCTGGCAAAAGGACAAAGGATACGGCACCAACCAGAGAGTGGTGGGAAAGACCAGGCCTCCAGGGGCTGAGGCCAGGCTCTGGGAGGGGTCTGAGAAGACCGCTGTGGGTAGCTCTAGGGAAGACCTGGGCCACAAAACCCTGGCACCCCACAGCTCTGCCACAAGGCAGCATCTCACCCTGACCTGACCACACAATGACAGAAGGGAAGAGCGCCCAGAGCTAGGGGCCCATCCAGCCTCCCCAGGACACTAGCATGACCCCCACTTGCCACAGGCCCCACCAGTCCTCCCTGGGATGAGGCAAAGGTCTAACAAGAACAGAGGCTGAGCCAGGTGTGGCGGCACTCGCCCGAGGCAGGAGGCTCACCCTGGGGTGGGGGCCGCCACCGACCATGTGAGCTACGCATCTGAAACAACCACACATAAAATACAAACGATAAGCTAATGTCAAGTCTCATTTTTTTTTACTTTCACTCTTGGGTGTTAGGACCACTGGGAGTCTTGGGGTACACCTATAGGCCCTCCTCTTTGGGTGTACAAAATAAGCAATTTTCTGAAAGCTGGGGAAGGCCCCCTTACCACCGCTCAGTGCCTCCGGAGCCCACCTTGCCCGTGCGCACTATTCCGTGGTGGGGCCCGCCCTGCCTCCCTGGGGTCTGTGCCCCTCCTGCTATGCCAGCTGCCCCCCGGGCTTCCACGGCCACCCAGGAATAGGGAGAGCAAGACCGTCCGAGGCTGGAGAGTGCAGGAGGCACAGACGCGGCTCCTCACCTGCAGGTACCGGGGGGCCTCCCAGGGCACGAGGTCAGACAGGAACTTGAAGAGGAAGACCACAGACTTCTTGCTGCAGCTGTGGTACCCACTCGCGCTTCCGAAGGAGGCCTGGGGAAGGAGACGCCACGATCCTGCCACCAGGCAGCCGCCCGCACGCTGTGCCCGATGCCTGTTACTGACCAGAGGGAGCCTTAGAGTGACTTAAAGGGCCCGTTGCTGAGCCTCCGGAGAAGAGATGAGCTCACGGTGTTTCAGAGAGCCAGATGTGGTGGTGCACACCCATAGTCCCAGCACTCAGGAGGCTGAGGTAGGATCACCACAAGTTCGAGGCCAGCCTAGGCCATATAGTGAGTCCAAGAGTAGCCTGAACTACATCGTGAGACCCTATCTCAAAAAATTAAAATAAAGTTCATTCCAAGAAAGTTGGAGAGAGTTTGCTGTCAGGAACAGTAACTGTGGAACTCTCCCGTGGCCCCAAGGGCCCAAGCCACTGAAGCTCTTAACCTGGAAAACATATCCAGTGTGTCTGACAGCAGTACTCCTGACCACGCCAAAACTTCCCACTGCGTGTGAGCTGGTGCAACCCCTGCAGGGGGACAAGGGCGGGGATGTCACCCTCGGAACACTAAAGCCACACATCAGAATGAGATGAGGCAGAGTAAGACAGGACAGCCCTGCCAGGACAGAGGCAGCAAGACAGGGCCCGGCCACGGCCATGCAACTGTGGAGGAAGGGGAGTCGAAGCTGGCGCTGGCCCTAAGTACACCACCCAGGAACCCACGGAGAGAGTGTGTCTGTGGGGACGGCCATGCAGGAAAGCAAGGGGCAGGACGAGCCTCCAGTGCAGCACGTGAACCCAGGCGGCCAGCAGAATCAGCCCGCTGCTTCATGTGTCATGGTTTCGCAAACACAAACAGCCACCAGACCAACCGGGGAATACAACAGCATCCTGTGTCTGAATAAGTCAGGAGAAAACCTAGCTCAGAGGTCTGTCTGACGGCCGCGGGCTAGACTCCCACATCCCAGCCAAGGCGTCCTCACTCCATCCGCTCCCCACCAGGCCCTCTCACAGGCAGAGAGGGAGCAGACCAGGCCCACAGGAAGCCGCCCACCTCTGGTGACACTCGCACCAGAAGATCCGCGCCTCCATGACACCACAGGAGGGCTGAAGCTGGGCCCACTGCCCGGGCCCCACTATTCCCAGAAGCCTTCTGAGACAGGCACAGCATACACACCCTGGCCTGGATCACGGCCACCACTGTGTCACTCTGAAAAAGACAGCTCTTGTTACGAAGAATTATGTAGCTGTATAATTTTTTTTTTTTTTTGCAGAACCAGGGATTGAACTCAGGCCCTTGCGCTTGCCAGGGAAGCACTTATTCCACTGAGCCACCTCCCCGGCCCCAATAACTCTTGATATGTTACAAACTGCATCACTGACCAGAGGGCTCATGTTAGCAAATGGAAGCCCTATTAACAGTCTTTAAAATACAGATCAGGGGCCGGGGAGATGGCTCAGGAGAATAAGCGCTTCCCTGGCAAGCGCAAGGGCCTGAGTTCAATCTCCAGTTCGGCAAAAAATAAGTAAATAAATAAAATGCAGATTAAAAACTGCATTTTATTGTGAGTGCAGTAGCAGGGGAGGCTGAGGCAGGAAGATGGCTCTCCCAGGAGCTCAGCTAGCCCGGGGAACACAGGAGGCCCAGTCTCAGAACACAAAGACAGAGACATTTGCGATCTGAACACACAGGATTTGCTTATCACAATGCACCCAACTGTGAATGCAAATTGGTTGCATTTTATTTAAATTAGAGCTTGAAAGTTGACTTAACAAATGGAAAAGCAGAGGCAAGCGGTGCCACACGGTTGTCGCGCAGCATTTTCTCACCCACAGTCCTCTCAGGAGGCCCAGCACTGGCCTCGTCAGCCAGACTCCAGGACAACAATGCCACCCAAACCACCTGACTGCCACAGCCCAGGGGGCAGAGACCTACGCTGGCACAGCACCTCCAGCAGGCACGGAGGTGAGCCGCCCCAAGGGCCAGGGCAGAGGAGCCCTGGGGAGGGCAGCCCCCAGCGCCCGGGTGCTTGCTCGGGCCAGGAGGGCAGCAGCAATAGGCCCATCCACCACTGGCCCTAAGCTGGCATCAGACAAGCGTCCCACAGCCAGTGCCCTGAAGGACATCACAGCCGCGGAAGGCGGGCTGGGCAGCTCGGTAAGGGCAAACTCACCCAGACCCTAAAGCGTAACAGCGCACCTGATCTTCCAGGCTGATGCCTTAGGACGCCGCCCCAGCCCGAACTGGCTAGATGCGAGGCTTCCCCGGGGAACACAGCCCTGGGGCCTGGGGGGCCCCAAGCTTGCGCCTGCAAAGCCCCCTCCAGGAGGGCTTGCCAGTTAGCTCACTTGTTTAAAGCACCTGCTTGGGCAAACTCAAGTCAGGCTCAGGGAACCGTGGTTTGATCCCCAGCTCCACAAGCCACACCAGACCCGCCCTTAAGGCAGTCTGAGCTAGCCAAAAAAAAAAAAAAAAAAATCAAAGCCCCTTCCAGGTGAGCCTGCAGTTTGGGGATCATTATCAAAGTACAGAGCAAAAGTGGGCACACTGCAGAGTGACAGGGAGACAGTGGGGCTCTGAGGACCAGGGTCTACAGCTCAGATGCCCAGCTCATCCTGCAGAGGGACAGGTACTCCCCAAGGGGTTCCCGACTCCTCCAAGAGGGACGGACAGGGTCCTTGGGAGGAGACGAGGGGCTTGAGCCTCCGAGGCAAGCTGGCAGTGTGTCTGGGCCACCTCTGCGCTGCACCCCACAGACTCCCTGGGGAGATGGGCAAGTCTGGCCGGCTGGCCTGCACGGCACTGCAGTCAGAAAGTGGCTTCTAGGAACTCACCTTGAACCACTCCACGTAGGACGGGAACACCGCCGGGCCCTCCAGCGCGGCCTGGCGCACTATCAGGAATGCAGTGACCATGCTGTCCAGGTGGAAGCTCTCAAAGGCAGCAGCCAGCAACTGGGCCACCCAATCTGTGAGACCACGACACAGCCCTCTGGTGAGATCAGCTGGTGGCTGAGGGGCCCATCCAGGATGTGCCAGGCAGAAGATCCAGTGTCTATCCTTGAGCCACGCACGGGCCACCAGGACATGGACAGGGGCAGCACTCAGCACTGACCAGGCACAGGGTCTGCAGGCCAGCAAGGGCCTCACAGACAGACTCACCCTCCAGCGCTAGGGTCCCACCACCACTGCCACACAATGCACCCCAGCTCCCCCTACTCACCTCTCAGCAGCTGCTGTGCCTCGGGGAAGCAGATGACCAGCACGGACACGCAGGACAACACACGCTGCCAGTTGACCTCCTGCTCCGCTAGCACGTCCTGCAGGCAGCTGACTGCCTCCTCGGGACTCAGCAGCACGAAGAGCTACAAGGAAAGCGATGCTGCTACCAGGACTCAGCCACAGCCCACGGCCCACTGCCTGCTGGGAAGCCTGACGGCGTCTCTACTCCACAGCAGGCGGCACTAGCTGGAGGAGCTCTTGCCCTGCGCTCCACCAGGTGACAAGCGCGCTCTCAGGACCCTGCACTGGCACCCTGGTGGGAACAACCGTGTCTGAGACAACGTCCTGCACCGCATGGCTCTGGGACAAGGACGGGAGCCACAGGGCCAGCCCCACTCACCCGGCGATAGAGAGAGGTGAGCAGCGGGTGTGTTCTTGCGAAGCTCCACTCTCTCTGCATCTGGACAGCGTCCGACACTTCAGGAGGGAAGACAGTGGTGAGCTGTAGGACAGCTGCTCAAAGGCTGCACTGCAAGTGTCAGTGAGGGTACAACTGCTGCAAATTGTAATTTGCTTTCTTTTTTTTAAAATGTCTCACTATGCAGCTGAGACTCGCAGTGATCCTCCTGCTACCAGCCTCCCCAGCAGTGCGAGTACAGGTGTGCGCCACCACGCCCAGTCTCGGTGGCCACCTAGGGGCAGAACCAAGGCCGCATGTGGTGCTGGGGTTCGCACCCCAGTCCCTGCACTTGCCTCGGCAGGCGCTGAGACCACTGAGCTACCTCACCAGCCCTGTAAACTGTACTTCCCAACTGTTCCCCACTGCTGCTTGTCAGCCATCATTCCTGGCATCCACGGGCTCTGTTCCCGGACCCTCAGCCGCCCACCGCAGACGCTCGCGTCTCCCGTACACAGGAAACGGTGACGTGTGTGGAATCCATGCACATCTGCCCTGCATGAGGCTGCCCTAACACCTCGGAGAGGGTAAACGCCCGAGAGGCAGCTGCCGCGCTGCTCTTTGAAAATGATGGGGGGAAAAACGGAAAAACGATGTTTCAGAAAGAAAATGATAGGAAAAAGGTTACACACTTTCGCTACAGATACAGTATTTTCCTCAAGTACTTCTACTTGAGTACTTCAGCTGGCTGAAGTCACAAATGTGAAAACTCTACTACGCATTGTGCACTGGCTGGCCGCCTCCTGCAATTCTGTGTTAGGTGCGTGAGGAAACTTTTCTTTTTAAATTTTGTGTGTGTGTGTGTGTGTGTGTGTGTGGCCAGCTCAGCCCATCAGGGGGCGGGGCTGGCTGGCATGTGGTGCTGGGGGATTGAACTGTGGTCCCTGTGCTTTGCTAAGCTTGTTCTAAATAGATGCTTTAGACCACTGAGCCATCTCACCAGCCCCGAGGAAACTTTTCTAAGGATTAGCTACATTTTGCTACTTAGCAACCCTGAATTACCCATACAGCCATCCCCAGGGTGCTGGCCCCCGGCACTGGCCTGGAGCAGGTGTCCACAGCCCCACTCTGCAGCCTCCTCAGGAGCCTACCACCTTCCTTGCCCTGGGCAGCCACCCTATACCTGCCAAGACCACAAAAGCCCAGCAGACAAGGTCACGGCAACAGGTCAGTGCCTGTGAGAAAGGGCCTGACGGGACACCCACAGGCAGAAAACCTGAACTCAAACACTTACAAAAACTATAGCCAAGGGACACAGCTCAGTGGCACAGTGCCTGCCTGGCAAGCACAAGGTTCGGAGTTCAATTCCCTGTACCAAAACAAAAGAAAAAAACTACAGAACTGCTTAAGAAAAGCTGCATAATGACATCCAAGATATAATCGTGTACTGTGAAATTCATATTATATTATTTAGTGAAATTCTGTATCATTAGTAATTTTTCTGTCTTAATACTGTTTCATGGGGCTGGTGAGATGGCTCAGTGGTCTAAAGCACCTATTTAGAACAAGCTTAACAAAGCACAGGGACCGCGGTTCGATCCCCCAGCACCACATGCCAGCCAGCCCCGCCCCCTAGTGGGCTGAGCTGGCCACACACACGTACACACACACACACACACACACACACACACACATAAATAAAATAAATAAATTAAAATAAATAAATAAATAAAATAATTTTCTTAAAAAAAATACTGTTTCATACTCTTTTAAAAAATGAAAAAAAAAAAAAAAAAAAGAAAAGAAATTTAAAATAAAATTGTGGCTGGCTCAGTGGAATAAGTGCTTCCCTGGCAAGCGCAAGGGCCCGAGTTCAATCCCCGGTTCCGCTAAAAAAATAAAATAAAATTATGGCATTCACAGTACAACTATGTCCATTTAGGAAAAGGCAGTAAAAAATGTTTTGTGTTAAAGATAGCTCCGTTTTGGTGATAATTCCATCTTCTCTTCTTTAATCATACATTTTCTCAAAAAGAAATTCCTATCGCTTCTCGGCCTTTTGGCTAAGATCAAGTGTAAAAGGAAATTCCTTTCCTATCTTTCTTCACAGTGCTGGCTGTGGAGCCCAGGGCCTCGGGTAGGCCCGGCGGCGTGGGTTCCATGCTGAGCCACGCCCCAGCCCAGGAACAACCTCCACGTGACAAAGTGTCCTTCACCGTCTGGAGGCCTCTTAAGATAGTTAAACCACGCGCCCCAGCTCAGTGCTCAAGAGCCTGGCGAGGACAGAGCCACCAGGCACCACCAACGGGGCCATCGTGTATTGCCCCGCATTGCCCCATCCCAGGGACACGCAGGGCAGGCACAGCAGGGCTGGCCTACCTGTCAGCACGGGGCTGTGTGTGAGAGTCTGGACCAGTGTGTGACGGAAGAACTTCTTCAGAGGATCTGGCGCCATCGCGTGGCACACGCGTGTGCTGAACGCATCCACCCTGCAGCACAGGAGGAAGGGCAGGGGTCAGAGGAAGCACGGCCCCTCCGCCACGCCCAGCACCTTGGCTGGCAGCAGGCAGTCACCCGCCAGTCAGGACGCGGAGCCATGAGCTTCAGGCGGAACCCAAGGAAGGCTGCCTTGCCAAGACGCACATGGTTGGGGGACAGAAGGCCAGAGCAGGTGCGAAGATGGACAGGTGGGGGGAGGAGGTGGGATGGAGGCCAGGCTGTCAAGAACAGCAGTGGCAGGCCCAGGTCCACTCCACATGCCTCGGTTTGCCGTGTGAGCCAGGCGTCACAGACCCTCCCCACCAAGGTGCTGCTGAACCTGGAGCACGCCAGAGCTGTGCCCGGCACACACAGCCGCACAGCAGCCACTGATGCCAGAGCCAGCGCCCCCTCTTGAGGGTTGGAAAGAGGCTGGCCAGGCACACGGGGCCTCCATGGGACAGGCCGGGAGGAAACAAGAGGCAAACGGGTCACACAGCCTGGCCTCAAGGGAACTTGAAGGCAGTACCAGAGTCACTGTCAGCCCCCGGCTCACTGAACCCATAGCTATGCTAGGCTCAGACCCACAGTGCGGGGAACTAGGTCCCTGGCTCCCCACGCCAGTCAGGGGTCTCACTGATTAAGCCAGCTACCACAGGTTACCTAGCAACTGCAAGCACCAGCCCTGTGATAGCAAAGACACACCAGAGGCACAGACTCGGCCCTGCTGGCCAACTCCACAAGGCAAGGCCTTGGGGCACGCAGCCTGGCCCAGGAGGCTGGCCCTTCCTGCTGGCAGAGCAAGTCTGATCTTACAAGCACTGGCAACTCACTAAAAACTCTGAGACAGGGACTACCTGGCTCCGAGGACATCACTTGCAACACGTGGGGGTGCAAAGGTCACAGGGTACAGCCCTTAATCCTGACCCGACCATCTTTGTAGGGGTCTCAGGGTGGCATTAGAAGCCTTACCCACAAAGAAGGCCCTCTGCACACACCTGGCGAGTGCCACAGGAAGGGACTCCCAGAACCCAAACCAGGGACAGGTGTGCTCTGAGCCATACGCTATGGGCTTTGCTGCGGCAGCCTGAGGGGACTAAGACAGCCTGGCCTTTCCATAAAGTGCCAAGTGGCAAGGGCATCCCTCAGGTACGGCACTAGTGCCTGTGGCGCACAGAACACAGAGAAGCCTGGAAACAGTGGGGACCCTGCCTGGCTCCTCAAGGGTTCCACTCTAGCGCCCCCCATCCGGGTGCCCCTGCGTCCACTGCAGCCTGTCTCTGTGCATCTCCACGTGCCTAGAGGGGGACCTGAGGTGGCCGAGTCAGCCCTGGTAGCAGCAGTGAGCTGAGCTGGAAGGTGAGGGACAGGACAGCTCTAGCAAGCACCAAGCTGGGGAAAGAGCAGCCACTCAGGACACAGTAGTCACCCAGGAACAGGGAGGGGAATGGCAACGGCCCTCCTGGGCCAGAACAGAGCGGGCAGAAGTGGCTTGGCAGAGGCCGAGCTACCAGCGGCATCCTCCCAGGTCACTGGGAGGGGGAGGCGGGGTCCCCACCCAGGGCCAGTGCTGCTGCCTGGTCCTCATGAGCGTAAGTACCCGCCCAGACATACCAGTGCCTCACCACCTTGTGAGCCGGAGACTCCTCCTGAAGGCCAGCAGCCAGGGAGTCCAGCACAACTGAGAACATGCCACAGAAAACCACGTCAACACAGTGACAGCTGCCGCGCACGCACACTCCCAGTCGGGCTCTTTCTCAGGCCTCCCAAGACTCCCAGGTGCCAAGAGCGCATCAGCCATGGTGACGTCCGATGCCCCCAGGCACTGAGGTCTGCCAAGTGGAAGAGTCACCCACATGCAGACAACCAAGGGCACCTTACAGGACTGCTCAGAAGGGCTGCCGGCTGAGGGCGGCCACAAAGACCACAGCCACCCAGGAGCCCAGGGGTGGGGCCAGAAACATGCCCAAACAGGGACACATGGGACCATCTGCTTAACGCAAGGCCCAAGCTTCGGAGACTTCCCAGGCCAGGTCCTCAGAATCAACTTACAGCTCAGCATGTTCTGCAGCACATCCAGGGCGACCTGTCAGCACAAGGTACACACGGCACCGTCAAGCAGTGACCTGCATGTGCCACACAAGCATAGTACACGGCTTACGAGAGCTGCCTTCCAGAGAGGGCCACTTGGAAGATTTCTTCAGTCGCCCAAACGGAGACTCAGTGCCCCTCCACAAGGGCCAGCCGTGCCACAGGTGCTCTAGGCAAGGCTGGGAGCCACAGCTCCAGCATGGGCACACAGGGCACAGCCCTGCCAGGGCTTCTATCTAGATGACCGCAGAGCCTGGGGCGTGCAGAGGTTTGGCTTTGGGAAGTGACTGGATCATGGGCCGTCACACTCATACCTGATTAATGAGATCACGGTAAGTGAGCTACTGGGAGGCGGAGCTTGGCCAGAACAGCTGGGTCACAAGGGTGTGGCCCAGGAGGGTCTGTCCCACCTCCCCTTCTGTCCCTGCTCCCTGTCCCTGTCGCTGTGCCCCGCCATGTACCTGTGCACCGCCACCCTGCCTTGGAGTCAGCCAGCAGTGGCCTAAAGCACGAGCTAAAATAAGCCCTCTCTCCTTTGTGGGTACAGGGATTGTCTTCGCAACCAGAAAGTGACTAAGACAGGAACCCGAGTGCCCAGCATCATGGTCTCGGGGAACGCAGTGCTCTGGCCAGGCAGTCTGGGTAGAGCCCAGCAAGCACAGGCCTGGCGCCAAAGGCCGTCCCCCTGGAGACCTGCACGGGCCCGAGCACGTGGTGCAGAAGCTGGTCTCTCCTTCTCCTCCCCCAGACCTCGGAGGGAGGCCACGCAGGACTTCACACCCCCGACCACCCTGAGAGCTCGCACTGCAATATGGATGAGTGCCAGCCCCTGGCCCTGGAAAAGGGACCGCAAGTGTGGACGGGGGCTGCTCTTTGGGCCATGGGCAGTTGTCAAAATGAGGCCACTTATCCAAACCTCCAGCCTCACTCCTCCTCCTACCTGAGGCATCTTCCCGGGCTCTGCAGTTCTTCCCAGATCCGAGTTGTCCTGAAATGCCTTTAAAACCAACAGTTGCACAAAATCTGAAAAGGCATAAACCCAAAATATTTATGGACACTACGGCCTCCAAACAGCTATGAGCCACGCGGGCCCTGCCACAGTGGGCGGCGGGCTACGGGCACAGCTCAGAAAGCGTCTGACCTGGGACAGCTGTGGCCAGCCCTGCCAGCCAGGCCCAGCAGTGGCTCACCAGCCACTGTCCTTCCTGCACCCCACTGTAGAAGGAAAGGCTTACAGGTCAAGTTTATTTAGGGCCTCTAATACAGAGAAGATTCCAGGAGCTGACAGATGTTCCCTGCAGGCAGCCCCGACCACAAGAGGCCCCAGGAGCCCCGCAGCCAGCAGAGGGCATGCAAGTCACGCCCTTGTAAAGGCTGGAATCAGCAGCCTGAAGTTAAAGAGGCTTTCGGTTCCACCTTCGGCATCAGCTTCATCAGCCCCCGCTCAAGCATCAAGAAGAACACCTTGTGCAAGCGTCAGGAAAGCCCACAAGCTGCAGGGGGCCTGCAGGCGGTCTCCTGGGCGTCACTGGCCATGCAGGGGCCTGTGGTTGAATGCAGAGCGCTGGGGGCTTCTGTCACCCAGCTGACTAGAAGCCCCAGCTCCCAGGGCAGGTGAGTCCACAGCAGCCCCTGATGAGCCAGTGTCACACTGCCCTGTGCCTGCGGAGGCTGGCAGTGTCTCGCTCCCGCCCATGCAGGTGCCTGCTCCCCTGCGGTGACCCTACCAGAAAGCATAGCCCTGGCGGTGTCGTCGGACGGGCTGGATGCTTCCATCTGCTCACACAGCAGGCGCAGGTTTCCAAAAAGCCATGGCGTCACAGCCTGCACGTCAGGATGGCTGGGGACACATAGACGCCGGATGGAGCCTGCTCCCCCCAGCCCCCTGCATCTCTCTCTCAAGAGGCAGTTCCTATTTCTCTGCTTTGACACAGGACCTTCCTACATAGCCTAGAGTGATCTCAAACTCATGACCTCCACAGACCCGCGAAGGCTCAGGCAGCTTTCATATTCACCCTGCTAGAGCAGGGCCAGTGGGGACCAGCCAGTAACAGTGGGCGGCCGGCTGTTTCTAGCCCTGAAAGCCCTAAGGTTTGCCACCACTGGCCTAGCCAGGCCTCTCTGGCCAAGAAGCCCAAGTGCGTGTGGACGCAGCTCCTCCTGGCTTCCTACTGACACAAAACTAACCACCGACCCACGGCTGGCTTGTTTGGAGGAGCCTACAGTGGACAGCCCAGTGAGCAAGGAACTCCTGGTTTTCACCTATTTTCTCTACTGCTTGCCATTTCACCGCTTTCTGCTTTGATTCGCCTTGCTTTCTTCAGGCTCGGCTCCGTGCCTTTTCCTGGGCCCGAAGACCCAAAGCTGGCTGACTGGACGCCCTTTCCCAAGGTGCCCGCCCGCTCTCCTGTGATGCTTTCCGAGCAGGGGCGCTCACAGCCATCATCTGTCCTCTACCCAGCTCCTTAGTTGCGCCTGGAGACTTTAGTACACTGTTCTCCTTTTCATTCCCCTCTCAAGACATGCTCTCCTTTCCTTTGTGATCCTTTCACCCACTGGTTGTGTAAATCAGGCACAGGGGCAGACAGCTGTACTCCCAGCAGCTGAGGAAGCTGAGGGGGGGGGTCCCAACCTCGAGACCGTTTGGGGCACCTTAGCAAGACCCTAAATAAGTAAAGAGGAATGGGATGCAGCTCAGCGATGCAGTGTCCCACTACAGAAGGTGGGAATAAAGGGGGAAAGAGGAGGGACAGGAAGAGAAAGAGGAGGAACGATAGATGTCTAATTTCCAAAGACAGTGGACTTTCCAAATTTCCTTCTGCCACTGACTCTGATTAAACTCCCTTCTGGTTGAGAACATAGCTACAATGATCTCAACCATTCCAAACATACTCAAACTCGTTTTGCGCCCTGACCCTCGTCTACCCTGGAGACCATCCTCACACTCTGATGCACATGCGCTTTCCCCAGGCAGCTGGCAGACTAGACCAGACAGCAAGGCCAAAAGCCCTTGGTGCGCAGAGCCTCCCCTCCCCCACCTCCCCAGCAGCCCCCAGGCCCCCC